TTTTGGAGGTATGTGTCATTTTTCGTCGAGAATCCCCCTGTAGGGGGGACACGCCCGACATAAACGAAGCCCCTTTTTCTCCATACGTTAAACTTCGATTTCCCATCAAAAATATAAGGAACACCTGAGGCAAGCTGTGAAACACTTAAGGAACGCGGAGCCTCTCTCCAACGAAAAGGGTTCCTTCTTCAGCGACCCGACTGTACGAGGGAACTCGATCCACCGTCTCCAGCCTCGACATCTGCTCTATACTTCGCCGCTACGAAAGTTCGGCCAAAATTCAACGCCTCCCGTTAGACGACGGGGCCCAAGTACAACGTTGGCAGTGAGCCCGTTAGGCCGCGGGGCCCCAGTACAATGTTCGGTTGAAGCAGTTTTCGCTCCAGTCTCGGGCGGCACCGCCCTTTCGAAATCTCCTAAGCGAAAGCTGCATTTTCGAGTTTTCGGGTGAGGGCAAACGGTGTGGCCATTTCGAAACGGCGGTTTCGCTTGATACTTCCTCGAAAAAACGATTTCGAACGATTTCGAAACTTTCGGGTTCGATTTCGAAATGGCGCTCCCGCCTAGAACTTCCGCAAAAATAGAATTCGACACCTTTCTGATTCGATTTCGAAATGGCGCTCCCGCACAGGACTTCCTCAAACATAGAAATCGAAACCTTTATGCCTCGATTTCGAAATGGCGCTCCCGCACAGGACTTCCTGCAAAATGAGGTTCGGCATTTGTTCCGCTCGAACTCGAAATGGCGCTCCCGACCAGGACTTCCTCCAAAACAGAATTCGAAACCTTCGGGTTCGATTTCGAATGGCGCTTCCGCCCAGGACTTCCTCAATCAAGACTACGATCATAACCACGACCACGACCACTACGACGACGACGACGACGACGGCGGTTACGACGTTTACATGCGCTCTCGCCCGAATGCCGGCCACTCCTTAGTTCTCGCCTCACCGCCGGCCAATGTCTCGGTCTGGCCGACCGCTCTCTGGGGTGGCGCCCGGAGATGCCCCCGGTGCGGCGCTGGCCCCCTTCCGGAAGGGGGGACGTGCCGGGGGGAGACACCCGCCCCCGCCCTTCAAGGGGGGGACCCCTTGGGGGGAGATACTGCTGTCACCCCCAAACAGGCACATTTTTGAAAAGGACCCGCCCGTTTGGGCTGCTTCCGCTTGGGCCGCCTGATCTATCCCATTTCCTATTGGAAAACCAATATGTTTTCCAATCGTTTTCCGGGTTCCGGCCTTTTCTGCAAAATCGTGTTTTTTTTGTTGTTGCGACCCCAGCCCGAAGGCCGAATCCAAGAGGTAAAGCACGACTCATCCCCCCATTGGGGCTGCTTCCGCTTGGGCCGCCTGATCTACCCCATTTCCTATTGGAAAACCAATATGTTTTCCAATCGTTTTCCGGGTTTCGGCCTTCTCTGCAAAATCGTGTTTTTTTGTTGTTGCGACCCCAGCCCGGAGACCGAATCCAAGAAATAAAGCACGACTCATCCGCCCGTTTGGGCTGCTACCGCTTGGGCCGCCTGATCTACCCCATTTCCTATTGGAAGACCAATATGTTTTCCATTAGTTTTCCGGGTTCTGGCCTTTTCTGCAAAATCGTGTTTTTTGTTGCGACCCCAGCCCGGAGACCGAATGCAAGAGGTACAGCACGACTCATCCGCCCGTTTGGGCTGCTACTGCTTGGGCCGCCTGATCTACCCCATTTCCTATTGGAAAGCCAATATGTTTTCCAATCGTTTTCCGGGTCTCGGCCTTTTCTGCAACATCGTGCTTTTGTTTGTTGCGACCCCAGCCCGGAGACCGAATCCAAGAGATAAGGCACGACTCATTTTGACTAGTTCCGCTTGTGGTTACATTCTCGGCTCCTCTCCTCTCCTCCTTCGGTCAGTCATCGTAGGCACAGGGGTACTAGCGTCAAGGTGATTATCGGCGCTCGGCTGCTCATAGGTTCTGTGGTGCTCTCAGGCTTTGGAGTGATGCTCACGGCCGTCGTGGTGTTCATAACCAATGTGATGCTCAGGCGTTGTTTCGCTGAAAACACAAAACGGGTCAAAACTTTCGCAGCGCCGATGTATACAGTCGAAGTCCTATCAGAAGGAGCGCTAAATAAGGAACGAAGCCCCTTCTTGGCCCCAGAAGCGCCTAGGTGCACGAGGAGTGATGGAGGAGGAGCCATGGAAGAGCTTAAGGAACAGCGAGCCCCTTCCGTATGCAAGGCGTTCCTTATTTCGGCGTCTTGGCTGTAAGGGGGGTGCTCAGACACCGGGGGATCGCTCACCCTCCCCCCTGCAAGAAAATCCCGGGGCGGGGGGTCAGGAACCGGGAACCGGGCCCCCCCCCGAACTGATTTTCCAGGGGGTGGGGCTTGAACCTCTGCCTCCTCTGCCGGCAGCGGCGGGCAGCGCTTGCTCCGCCACCCTGGGCAGGCAGCCTTTCGGTGCGTACTTTGCGCGGCGCCCGCGTTGAACGCGCAGTTTTTGCGGCGCCGACCGTGTGGGCAGGGTGTCCCGCTGCAGGGGTCGTTCGGCCGTCCGCGCCAGGGCGCCCAACGCCGCAAAAGAAAATGCGCTGGCACGCAAACTCTGTCATTTTTTGGTGCATCGAGGGCGTGCCTTGCCTGGGCAAGCCGTGCGGCTCGCGCGGCCTCCGAGGCGTGCGGCCCTTCGCACCAGCGGTGGCGACGGCCTCCGCCTTCTGCCGGCGGGGCTTCCTGCACGCTGCAGCGCGGGAGCGCCTTGGAGCGTGTCTGAGCGCGCCGCCAGCGCGCCGTGGAGCTCGAAGGCAGCAGTGAGCTCCCCTCCCTCCCTCCCCTCCTCCTTCTCCTCCTCCTCCTCCTCCTCCTCCTCCTCCTCCTCCTCCTCCTCCTCCTCCTCCTCCTCCCCCTCCTTCTCCCTCCTCCTCCCTCCCTCCCTCCCTCCCTCCCTCCCCTGGGGGTGCAGCGTGCGACGAACCTGACGCTGCGCTCATCAGTGAGGGACTGAAGACGCCCGCGCAGACCGTGCAGATCACCAGCATGACGAGGAGGTGCATCACGTGAGAGGAGCGCCACCGGATGTGCGAGCGTCTTGAGGGCCCAGATGTCCGAGCCATTTCTGCTCGTAATGAGCAGCTGAGTGCTCCTCGTCAGGCACTGGGGCAGCTATGAGGCGAGGGGCACATCCCGACGAGCCAGGAAGCCATCACCTGTCGGGTGTTACTAGAAGTGCCCCTGGCCCGAGGTGCCTCCAAGATTTCCAAGGAGGTCCCAACGGCCTCCAGAGCTCCCCCCACAAGGCCCAGAGGGGCTCAACAATTGAGCGAAAAGCTGGGGGCACGTTGGGCCATGGGCACTTCTAGCAGCACCCGAACATGGACGTCGACTGCAGCACGTGGGGCGTGGGATTCTGCAGCACGTGCTGGGGAGACAAGTCGGAGGTGCAGCGATGTGATTAGCAGGAGCACGAAGCTCATTTCGGCGTGGGTTAGCGTCAAGCCCTACCTCCCTCAGCACACTAGCCGCGGAGCGACGAAGAGGGGTATGCAGCGTGTGGTCGGCGAATTTGTCAAACGTAAGCATACGTGCGCGGAGAGGGGGGGGGGGCGAACATATGCTTGGCACGCGAGCATCTGGCACGCATCATCCACGCGTCGCGTCCGGAGGCGGGTTCGGCAATTCACCTGGTTTTGTCCGCTGGGCAGTGGTTCCCCTCTTTTCGGGAGGCTGGGAGGAGGAGGAGGAGGAGGAGGAGGAGGAGGAGGAATTCACCCTGATCGCCCTTGTGTCTCTGCCGTTGTGCGGTCCTCCAGCGTCCTGGCGTTGCGCCCTCTGCCTGTGCACGGGGCCGCGCGTAAGTCTCCAGCGTCGCGCGCGGCCAGAGCTGCTCGCCTCATCTCTCCTCTGCGTGCCTTCTCCGCTCGGAGCTGCTCAATTAGCCTGCGGGCGCTCCTCTTCTCCTCCCCTGCCTCTCGTCGGCCCCTCTGCTTTTCCTCGCCCGTGCTGCGCTCTGCGAGCTGCGCCCGCGGTGATATTGGCGCAGTGTGGCAGCACGGGCCATGGTCATGTGTCGCTCGCTGTGCCGTGGCACACTGCCTGGGCGTCTCGTCTCCTCTGGTGGCCAAAGCTAAAGTAGGTTGGAACATCATGAGCCTGCCGCTCCAGACTGCCACCGATCTCGCCCGGCGGACAGCCGTCGCCTGACAAAAAGCAGCCTCCCCCCTCGCCCCTGGATGCTTGCGGCACGTCCCCCCCCCCTTCCCGGAGAACTCCCTAGGTGCTCCTCGGGCCAGGCCGAGCCACGTGCCACGCCGTGCCCCCCCCTCCCCCCTTTCGTGGCCGCCTCCCCCGAGGTCCGACGTCGCGTCGCTCTCGCACCGCTGAGCCCTGGAGGTCTGGACCTCCTCCTCGGGACCGGCTTTTCGTACTGGACCGTCTCGTGACGGAGACGGCCCCCGAGGAGGAGGAGGAGGAGGAGGAGGAGGAGGAGGAGGAGGAGGAGGCGGAGGAGGAGGAGGAGGCGGAGGAAGGAGGAGGAGGAGGAGGAGGAGGAGGAGGAGGAGGAGGAGGAGGAGGTGGGGCCCGGCGAGGGCCCGCCGGGGCCGAGAGCTGCCAAAACCTTCCCTCGCGATCCTGCGGCACCACGAGAGCAGCTGGGGGGTCTGCGCGCGCCCTCCACGGCGGCCCCGCTCCGCGAAGCCTCCGCCCTCCCCTGGGGGAACAAAAGGTGGCATAAACGTAACAGCTCGGAGGTCCGCGCGGATTTCTCGGATCGGCGCTGGACCCCCCTGGCGGCGCCTCCGGCGCCGCCCCTGGCGCGCTCCGCGCGCCAGGGGCGGCGCTTCCGCGCCTCTGGCGCCTCCGCGCGGAGCGCGCCAGGGGCGGCGCCGGAGGCGCCGCCAGGGGGGTCCGGTGCCGATCCGAGAAGTCCGCGCGGACCTCCGAGCTTTTATGCTTGTGCCACTCCTTGTTCCCCTGCTCCCTCGCCCGCGGGGCGTTGGGCGCGTCGCGCGCTAGCGGGCGACCTCCGCGCGGGCGAGCCGCTGCACGCCCTGCCGGCAGGGCGGGGGCCGCTGGGCGCGGCCGGCTGCTGGCGGCGGCGAGGGCGACGGCGACGGCGAGGCCGACGCGGCAGAAGAACGGCGGAAGTTCTGTGGGAGCCGTCTTCGGCCTCCCGGGGTCCTCGCTGGGCCCCCGGGCCGTCAAGACACGGCCTGGGATGAAAAGCTGGTCCGGGGAAAAGGGTCCCGACCTCTGGGGGTCGACGCCGCGAAACAAAAACACCGCGTCGGACAGTACGGGGAGCGGGCAGGGCAAGCGGAGCAGGAGCAGGAGGAAGGGGGAGATGGCAGGGCAAGTCAGGAGCGCTCGCGAGGCACAGTTCGGTGTCTCTCGCCTGGAAGGAGGGGGTATGCTGTCACCCTCTTCGACGAGAGGGACGGAGGGAGGGAGGGCGGGAAGGAGGGAGGGGAGGGAGGCGAGGGAGGGAGGAGGAGGAGGATGAGGAGGATGAGGACGAGGGGCAAACAGAGGTGAAGGAATGGGGGAGCAGGTGGAGGGGAAGGAAGACGCGAAGGATGAGCAGGGAGAAAAAAAGAAAATGGGGAGGAGGGGGACGGGAAGTGGTGGCAAGGGAGTAATAAGGGAGGAGGAGGAGGAGGAGGAGGAGGAGGAGGAGGAGGAGGAGGGAGGAGGAGGAGGAGGAAAGTGCGGAGGGGAAGCAGGGGGAAGACGGAGAGGACAAGCAAGTGGATCACGAGGAAGACGACGAGAAAGAGCGAGGGGCGCTGAGAAAACGATGGCCAATGGATAACGATCAGCTCCTCTTCCGCCTCCTCCTGCTCCCCCTCCACCCCTTCATCCTCACTCCTCCTGCTGCTCCTCCTCCTCCGTCTACTCCTCCTCCTCCTCCTCCTCCTCCTCCTTGGGCAGGGGGCGGAATAGCAGGGCAACGACTAGGAGGAGCTCAAGCGAGAATGTGAATACGTCCTCGAACGTCGCTCGACGCCGGCGCAGGCCAGAAGCAGAAAAAAGGGACCTGGAGAGTCCGACTGTGGGGCTCGTGCGGTAGGCGGCCGCGCCCGCCCGCCCCCGACGCCCCGACGCCGTGCGGCTGCTCATCCAGAGATGGGCCTGGCGCATTGGGTGCACTGCCGCAGGCGGACACCAGCAGCGAGTGCAGCACGGCCGGGCCGCACTCTCGACCAGGGGAGCCTGCTTCAGCGGATGGCAGCTGCGGCACGAGCTCCGTGGCGAAGGACACGCGCGTGCCCGACCTTTGGTCGGCGGCGAGCCCGGGGGAAAGTGAGCAGGGGCGGGCCTTCTCAGAAGGCTCGGAAGTCCCCCCGGCCTCTGAGAAGCCCCGCCGCCTTCCGAGAAGGCCTCCAACTTCCGCCCCGCCGCCTTCCGAGGAGGCCTCCTCCTTCCAACTTCCCCCCCTCGCTCGCCGCCGAACTGCGGCACGAGCTCCGTGGCGAAGGAAGCGAGTGTGCCCGACCTTTGGCGCAGCTGCGCGTCCATCGCGGTGGAGCACGTGCGACGGGCCTGGGTGGAGCAGGTACGACGGGACTGGCGGCACAGCGAGCGCCGGCGAGCCGAGGGGCGCCCCGCCCCGCGCTGGCGGGCAGCGCGGCGCGGCTCGGCATCCAGGACCCGGTGCCACCCGAAGACCTGCCCCTCCTCCTCCTCCTCCTCCTCCTCCTCCTCCTCCTCCAGGACACAAGCTCCTTTCGAGGGCCACGTCGCCACAGAGGTGCAGAGGGCACAGGGGCACCCTCGATCTGGCAGGATCGGCACTCCAACCAGGTTCGGCCGCAGCGGAGGGGACGCCGAAGCGCCGCCCTTGGCGGGGGTAAGGCTGGGCGTGGGCATGGGACATGGCACGGGAAGGTCGCGACGGAGCTGAAACGTCACACATCGGCGGCGGGCGAGCGGGGGGAACTGAGAAGGGTTCCCGTGGCTTCGGGGAAGGCCTGGCAACCTTCTCAGAAAGCCGGGGGGCTGCCGAGCCATCTGACAAGGTCCGCCCCTCCTCACTCCCCCACACTGGGCTCGTCGCCGATTGCTCCCCCTCTCGGTCCGAGGGGACGCGGCCAACGATGAAGGGGCCCTGGGAACACACAAATAAACACACGCACACACGCACAAATAATACGATCCCCCATTTTTTAAGCATATATATATATATGTATTTCTGGGTTTTTGTCCTGCCCCCCACTTCCCATATTTTCTTATATTTTCTGGGGAATCGACGATTCACTGTGCCTGTGTGCTTTCTTCCCTCCTAGAAGCGACGAAGACGACGAGGAAGACGACGACCCGGGCGGCTCCGGGCGGCTCGGCCAGCCGGGCGGACCCCCCGCGGCTGAGGCCTGCTGCTGCTGCCACGGGGTGCCCGCCGCGGCCGCCGCAGCGGCCGCCGCTCGCGGCAGCGTCAGCTGGTAGTCCTGTGACAGGATTAAATCCGTGGCTGCTAAAATCGACCTCCGGGAAGTTGTCTTCGTCCTCCGGGGAGGAAGCCCGTTGACTCTCTCGCGTGCCGCGCCTCCTTCCGGGAAGTTGTCTGTTCCTTCCGGGAGGGCCGCTTTAGCAGCCACGGTGTTAGCAGCCCTCGCCCAGCTTTCGAACCGTCGGGGTGGCCGTGGCGATGCGGGAGGGGGGAGGGAGGGACGTGTGCCGCCATCGGGCTGCGGTGGGGAACGCCAGATCCGCCGCCCCACTCGGCGCGTGTGAAAAGCCCTTCGGCGCGAGGCCAGTCCGCCCCAAACGGAAGTACGCCAGCTTCCTCTGAACCGTCGTCGCCGCAGGGGAGATCGAACAGACAATGGGGGAGCGAACGATGCTGCAACCACGCGTCGTAGGGAGGCCCCGCCCCTGTGCCCCTTGGGGGGGGACCCCCCTGGGGTCGTGACCCCCCCCCCTGGGCGGTCCCCCCCCCCCTGTGGAGACGGGGGACACAAGGATGATTTCCCGTGGGCAGGGCAGCTCACGACCCCTCCGCCCGCCTCGGCCCCGGCCCCGGCCCCCTGGCCCTGGCCCCGGCCCCGGCCCCAGCCCCGGCCCCGGCCCTGGCTCCAGGAGCCCACTACGCTCCCAAGTAGGCTCCAAGAAGGGCTACAGAGCGTCAGCGTCGTCGTCGTCGTCGTCGTCGTCGTCGTCGTCGTCGTGGTCGTGGTCGTGGTCGTGGTCGTGGTCGTGGTCGTGGTCGTTGTCGCGGTCGTGGTCGTGGTCGTGGTCTGGTCGTCGTCGTCGTCGGCGTCGTCGTCGGCGTCGTCTTCGCCGTCGTCGGCGTCGTCGTCGTCGCCGTCGTCCTCGTCCTCGTCGTCGTCGTCGTCGTCGTCGTTGTCGTCGTCTCCCTTTCAGGGTCGGCGGGGCTGGCCGTGAGGCCCTCTAGATAGAGAGCGAGGGGGGCGTGAGTCTGGCCACGGCGCTTCTCGGCCACGACTAAGGCTCCCACCTAGGTCTAGGTCTAGGAGGAAGAGGAGAAGAAGGAGGAGGAGGAGGAGGAGGAGGAGGTCTAAGAGGAGGAGAAGAAGGAGGAGGTTTAGGAGGAGGAAGAGGAGGAGGAGGAGGTTTAGGAGGAGGAAGAGGAGGAGAAGGAGGAGGAGGTGGAGGAGGAGGAAGAGGAGGAGGATGAGGAGGAGGTCTAGGAGGAGGAGGAGGAGGGAGGAGGAAGAGGGTGAGGGTGAGGAGGAGGAGGAGGAGGAGGAGGAGGAGGAGGAGGAGGAGGAGGAGAAGAGTGAGGTCAGGCATGTCCTCTTACGTGTGGATTTGGGAAGGAAATCAAAAGTAGTCACAACCATATTCAAACATAGTCCACTGTGCGCGACAAATCGTCCCCAGACTATGTTTGGACTATTCTTGAATATATTCCTCCTGTAGAGGGACATGTCCGACGTAAATCTACGGAGCGGCCCGGATACCATTGGCCCTTTTGAAACCAGAGTGGTCCTTACTTCAGCGCCTTGACTGGTAACGAACCAAATCCCCACGACGGCACGACGAGCAAGAGGAGCAGCGGGAGCATATTGGAGGCAGCGCGGGATAAACGAGGGCAAACCCCGAGCTGGGAGGAGCTCAAGACGATCCTCATTCGTGTCCTCCGCCGACGAGTGGGGGAGCTGGAATGGTGATCGTTTTCTTATTCATTGTTTTGCCGATCGGCGCGGGCCCTCGCCCCCCCCCCCCTTCCCTCCCCCCGCCTATGGAGTAGATATTGTTTTTTTTTGGCGCCTGTTTCAAGCAGGTGGAGTCCCTCCCCCATAGGACGCACTATTGCGAACAGTCGCATGAAGCAGAGGTCTGGAGCCAGACCCCTCCCCCTCGCCCTCCTTTCGCTCAGTGTCGAAAAGCCGAATGAGAAAACGTATGGCGGTCAGTCCGAAAGCCCTGACTGGGCCGCATCGGAGTGGAACTGCACGCAGCACCAGGGCCCAGACGCGTCCTCAGTTCTCGCGTGGTCGCTCATGGCTGTCGCCGTGGTGCCTCAGTGAGTGTGCCACTGAGGGGGACAACCTCCTCCCTTCTCCTTGTTACTATCCCCGATCTTGGGACGAATCCCTTCTCCCCTCCTCCTCCTCCTTCTCCTCCTCCTCCTCCTCCTCCTCCATTCTTTTTCCATGCACATAGCTTCCTCCTGTCGCACCCCGAAGCCAGTTTTTAGGGCGGGCCGGGCGTTTCGCCTGAGACTTCCTCACCACTCATGACTCTGAAGCTTAAAGATTGGCAACAATTTCACAGAATGCGGGCGGGTGGTTTTCAACATGTGGCTCTCGCCTTAGCGCCGCGCGCATTCGTTCGAACAGTCTACGAGAAATTCACGGATTGAGAATAACCCGTTTTCAAAATGTGGCTCTCGCCGTAGCGCCGCGTACAATAGTTGTAAACATTTGTAAAAACTTCACGGGTTGAGGATACGCCGTTTTCAAACTGTGGCTCTCGCCTTCGCGCCGCGCACATTCGTACTAAACACTTGCAATCGTTTCACGGATTGAGGGCGCTCCTTTTCAAAATGTGGCTCTCGCCCTAGCGCCACGCACATTCGTTCATGAAATTTGCAAGGGCTTCACGGACTCCCACCATCAACATACCAGGATGGAGTTTTGGAAGGATTCAGGATTTTGCGGGTGCAACAGTTACGTTGAATCGCGGTGTTGAAATCCGAAGAATGGCGTTCTGGCACGATCCAAGATCGTCAAAACGCAACAATCAATTTGATTCGTGGCGTTGGAATCCCGAAAACAATGTTTTGGCGTGCTTCCAGGTCTTCAAACGGTTGTCTTCCAACGAGCCAGATCCCTGAATGAAAATGAACCGTTGTAGGGGCCTATGAAGAGGGAGCTTGGAGGGAGAGTGCATTCCAACATCGCTGATGGCTCTTAAATTTACACTGGTCCTCCTTCTCCTCCTCCTCCTCTTCCTCCTGCCCCCTCCCCCCTCCCTCCCTCCCTCCCTCCCTCCTCTTGCCTTCCCTCCTCCCCGACGCTGGGAAGCATCCCTGTCCTCCGCGCGCTCGAAGAAGCCGTCCAGCGGCGTGGCCCACCTCCCGGCGAGGAGCTCCCCCCCTGCTCTTCTCTGGACCAGAACACAAACGACATCGTCCCACCTGCGGCTCCAGTGGGCTTACCGTGTACCCGGACATCTGGCGTGGGCTGTTGCGTGTATGCGCTGAGGCCCCCGTTGGGCCGTAGCGCATCATGGAGGGCCGTAGGTGGGGTGGTGTCACTTGTTTTTGGTCGATTCCGATTCTCTCCTCTTTTTTTCAGCGCAAGAGAGCCCCAACTCCACGAACAACCACGCAAGTGAGCACTCCATTTAGCAACAGTGGCACCGGTGACCCTTCACCACGGGCTCGAAGCCATTTAAATCCTCAAGCTGTGGAAGGGAGAAGCTGCACGAGCGACACCATTCGGAACCGCGCAAACGCGGGGGGCAAAGAGAGGGGAGGAGCAGGGGGAGGAGCAGAGGAGAGAGAGGAAAGAGGGGGAGGGTAGTCCCGACCCCGCTAGGGGATGGACAAAGGATCCTAAGCAAAGCCTCGGACCCACCTGCAAAAACAAAGAGGGGGAGGAGGCAGACCCGCCAGAAGCAAAACGCACCGGCCACAAGGAAGGGAAAGGAGAAAGAAGAAGGAAGAGGGAAGAGGCGAAGGCAGGGAGCAGGGAAGATAACAAGACAACAAATTCTCTCCCATTCTCTCCCCCCTCTGACGAGAAGAATGAGCAGGGGAAAGACTGCAGGAGCACAGGGGAAAGATTCGGAGGGATGGGAGGAGAGGTGGAGGCCTGAGATTGATTCCGGCGTCTCATTTTGTTTGTTTTCGAGCCGGGTGTTCTCGCCAGGCTTCGGGCCCCGGGAGCCTCACGGATCGTTCCGGCTTGAAGAGTGGCGCAAAGAGAGGGGGTCTGGGGCTCGGGTCGTGTTTTCTGCACGTTGTCCAAACTTTTCTCTTCGCCCCGTCGGGTCTCAGGGAAACAAAACAACATGGAGGATGTAGGTCAAGGAGGAGCCGGAGGAGGAGGAGGAGGAGGAGGAGGAGAAGGAGGAGGAGGAGGGGGAGGATTGGGAGGAGGAGGAGGAGGAGGAGGAGGAGGAGGAGGAGGAGGAGGAGGAGGAGGAGGAGGAGGAGGAGGAGGAGGAGGAGGAGGAGGAGAGGAGAGGAGGAGGAGGAGGAGGAGATCAGATCAGATCGACTCTGGGGGGCCGTGTCCACGAGTCACCTCATGGCAGCAAAAAGTTGGCCCCTGAGTGGCCTTCGCAGGCAGCTTCACACGGCATCCAGCCTCTGCAGGCACGGCCGAGTGCTCGGGCCCCAACCCGCCCTGCGGCGCGGGCGTACGCGCTCAAGGGGGGCGGTGGCACGACTCAAACTCACCAATCAGACGGCCTTCGAGGCCCTACAAAAAAAGTAAAAAATTACCCCCGAGACTTCGCCCGCGGCTTAGGTTTTGGTCTTGAAACTCGGCGTCCCTGGGCCATAAACTGGCGCGAGTCTCCAGAGACTCCCTCCAGGACATGATTTTCGGCAAGTCTAAAAGGCTGAGGGGCCCCCGAGGACGAGGAGGAAGCAATAGCAGCAGCAGCACTCGGAGGAGGGGGGGGAGGTCGGAGACTGAGGGCCCCTCTAGCCGCCAACTCTCTGAGACGAACCGAATTCGCCAGCGTCGGTCGTCGCGATATCTCGCGAGAGAACTGGGCCACAGCTCGGGCGTTCGCAGCGGCAGCCAAACGCCGCTCCTCTGCCTTCTCCTCCCCGCCACCCACCGTCCCAGCTCCCACGTCCCCCACTCCATACTGTTGCTCATCTCCGCTTGCTGTCCTCCTACTCACTCCGCTCAGCGTGTGATCCGATCCAACAACTTCGACGCGTCTCTCTCCAGGGCCCCACGTGGAGCCGCTCCCACCTTGCGCTCTCCGCCCACCGTCTTCAAGTACTGAACAAGATAGCGCTCGAGATCGGGCACTCGAGAGTCCACCGCAAACGTCAACCTGAACTTCTCTGACTTCTGCTCTTGCTTGCGTGTGACTCTGATGCGACAAGCCCGCGCCTCGTCCGCGAGCGCCATGAGATCTCGCTGCAACACGACATCGTTCCAATACGCCAAGAAACACTTTTTGCAATCCTCGGGGCACTGAGGATCCTGCCCTGCGGCTTGAATCAGTGCCGCCCACACCTGCAGAAACGGGGGGCCGAGAGAGGACCCGTCGCCGCCGTTCTCCTTCAAGGACTGCACGGTGGCGTGATACTCGACGCCGGCTGCCTTGGCGGCCTTGGCCGCGACATTCTCCATCGGAACCAGGAAGGTGAAAAAAAAACGACGCCGCAGATGTCCCTCAACTCTGCGGCATTGGTGAGAGACAGCTTCGTGAGAATGATCACGAGCTGCTTCAGGATGTCCCCCTGCCCTCCAGCCTGCTTCTTGGCGGCCTCGACGACCTTCGCTGCGGAAGCCGCTCTCTTGGCTGCTGGCTCGCCGCTGCCGTCCTCCACCTGCGTCGGGGCCTCGAGCATCCAGGCGGGGCGCTTGTCCATGCTCATGGGCGCCGCGACTTCGAAGCCAAGGAGGGTGGGGCTCAGGACAAGGATCAAGGTGTGTTCTCAGATGACTCTGAAGAGCCTCAAAGCTGCGACCATAGAAAACACATATTGGACACTGGTACGACGAAGGGATACTCGGAGGCTGAAGGTGTCGGACTTGTACATCACTACAGAATCCTCGGTCTAACGAATCACGCAGATGTCGCCGACATATTGTCCGTGAGGCGAACGTGGTAAGACACACACAGCATTGGTTTGAGACACTCAGTATACTCGATAGAGCTTGATTTCCGTGTCTAGCTATAATATGGGTGTGTACTGCACGTCGGTCTGGTAAGATAGCTCCACAAATGCTGCCACTGCTGTCACACATCATGCACTTATACTGTTTCTCGATTTCGATCACGCTAGGGGTAAATTCAGGCTCGGGTCCAGGACCAGGAACATGTTCAGGAGGGGGTACGGCTACAGCTAAGGATCTACTCCGAAGCTCACGAACATCAATACTCATAAACTTCTCCCCCGCCTCCTCCGACCGAAACAGCTCCAGAAAACGCCCATCAAGAAGAGCGAGCAGGTCAGGGCCCTCTCCAAGGACTCCCAGGGCCTCCACGTCGTCCCAATACATCTTTACCCAGGGATGAGCCTCAGGACCTAGACAACCATTTCCCCGAAACGAGTGCCATTTTCCAACAGTAGCGAAGAGCGCTGCAATGACTTGTTTGTGAAACTGCGGCCGACGTACCAGTTCCTGCAAGAACCGTAGTCGCCGAATACGAGCTTCCAGCTCGGGAGACGCCAGCCGCCAGTAGGCCAGCACATCTGCATTAGAGAGAGAACGAGGATGGCGCTCAGCGTGTGGATCAAACGCATCACCACGCATAGCACGCCGAGCAAAGGATGCAATCTGATTCGTCAGCCTCCGATATTCTGTACCAGTAGGCACATGCGCCTCAGTCCCAGAGAGTCCTGCATTATAAACCTTGCTCATGAAAAGACAGCGTCGCAATCGATGCGGTATCCCAGGAAGTTGCCAGAAAATCCCCATGGAGTAAAAACCAGACTGCATTGCGTTACATCTTGCTTTTAGTTCGACAGCATACCGATGAGGCTGAGCAGACACGTGGAAGCCTAGCCATTTAATAATCTGCGCGGCACGCCCAGGGAAAGACAGGGCACCTTCGCGCAGAAGTCGAAGTGCCTCAGAAGAGCCCCTCCCCACTAGACATACCAACGTATCCTGCTTGCTAAGATTCTGCTTGTACCCATCCCGTAGGAGAGATTCGTCTAGATCATCATTACTACGTCGGCTAAGCTCGATAAGCTCCCGTAGACTAGTGAACCTCCCTCCCACCAGCTTCTTAGTCAAATCATCCGCGTACTTAGTTAGGGACAGGTCCTGCATCGTGCCAGACACGGGGCAGCGGACATGCAAATAACGAGAGTAGCGATCCCACTGGTGCTGGGCCTCACGCCAGCGCTCAACAGCAGGCGAGAACGTGTGCACGAACGAGCGAACGGCAAATCCGTCTCCCATGAGGCCCCCGCTGCTGGGTCGTAACGTCACCTGCTCATCAGAACCCCGAAGCTGAATCACTGCCCACCTGTATCGTTGCTCCCCGAATCCCAAGGACTCTGTCCAGACCATGCATGAAATTGCCGTTCGCATAGATTCCCAACTACTCGAGCTGAACGCGTTGGCGAGGTCATGCGCGTTCGTCACGTGCGAGAGACCTTCACGCCACAGACGATATCCACTAATATTCTGTACAAGCTGCGCCTCCTCTCGCCTATGATACGGTGCAAATCCGTGATCACAGTCGCCAAAAAACCCTGGCCCACGCTGGTGCATCAAACTAGTCATGAAGAGCTTGCCCATGAGATCTAAGAGGTGGACCCATCGAGTTTTCCCATCAGGCTTAGGAAGAGGAGCCCCTTCACTACAGTGCCATCTGATAGGTGCCCAGCCCGAACTCCGAATCCTCGCCAGACTCCCGAAGACAAACTTCTGGAACTCAGGAAGACGCAGCCCTTCTTTCGATGCACCAAGACCAGCCATTTTCACCTTGCAATTCTTGAGCGGGTGCAAAACCAGCCACCATAGCTCCAGGGGAGGGGCCCAGGAGGGCCCAGCACGACGCTTTCCAGCTTTCAGGAGGGCCCGACGGATTCCTTTGAGGTCAAGGCTGGCAGCTTTGCGCTCCGCATATGTAGGTTCAGCATGAGGTAGCGCACGAGACAGAAGCCAATCTCTCCATCCCTCCCAGTGTGGTATCTGCGTAGCTCCCACTCCCCCCTCAGCTCCAGGACGCGAAAAATCGGCAGCAAGCTCAGACGCACTAGCCACTACTCCTCGTATCGAAAGATAATCGCGTCGTTTCGGTCCGAATCGAGTACCTCCTACGCGTCGACAGAGTCGAGAGGCTTCGGCGAGTCGTCGCTCCCTCCAGAGCTCGTGTATCTCCTCGGTTAGCTGCTGCTGCCGAGCACGCGCCTCGCGTCGGAGACGTTTGCCATTCTGGCGAGAAAGCTCAGAAAGCTGCTGCACTATCTGCTGCTCCTCATCCTCACTCACAGCACATGCAAGTCCCATGCGAAGCTCGCGCCGTCGATCCAGCAGAGCCCGTCGTTCATGAGCCATCGGATGTCTCGGACGCGCCTCAGCACCAAAGAACTGCTGGCCAATCTGGATCAGCATATCATTCAAATAATCAAACGCCTGGTCAGCCGTGGGCAGGGAAAGCAGACGATCACACAACTCAGAATCGCCATGGATGCGCGCCTCGACTGCCTCCAAGAAGTCTCTCCTGCCGATGCCCTTGCGCAGCGCCAGCATCAAAGTATCGAGATCCCATCGTGGACGTTCCACAGAGACACTGACCGCCTGAGGATCCAGTATATAATCAAGACCCATGTGGATAAACAAATGATCAGATACTGCACGTCGTCGTACATACTGGAGTTCCCTGCTCAGACGGTGAAGCGGGCCAGCACTCCGACTATGCTGAACAAGGGCAACCGGCGCCGCAATAATGTCAATCCAGCTAGATTCACCGCGTGGGCCATAATACGTGGGGCTGAAGCCTTTGTAGCTATTCGCCACCTGCAATCCGTGAAGATGAAACAGTTTTGCCAGCTCAGCCCCTGCAAAGACCCCTCGTGTAGCATTCTCAGGCCTGACCACCATCAATTCATCAGAAACCCACTGACCATTCATCTGGATAAGCCCCATACCATCGTTGACATCAGCACATACAAATGGAGTCGTACGCTGAGGTAGCGATGCAAGACGGGGAGCCAGCCATGCAATCAACTCATTCACGGTACGTCGATATCGTGTCCACTCATGCGTATACTTGGGTTTGGGAGGAAAGTAGAGTGCAATAATCGTCACATCATATCTGCCAGAGCGTGCACGGCACAAGAGCCCGCGACCGCCAATCAAAGAGGGAGAGCACTCTGTGCGTATTAGATGCTCAGCCTTCACCCGAGCTCCCCACATGATAGAGACACCACAATGCAAGTTAGTTAGCTCACCTGTCGTCCAGCCCGCCTCGATGACCACCCTATTTCCCACCTGCCGCTTCCGAAGAGACGTTCCTCGGGTGGCCTTGCTGCGAGTGCCGATGAGAGCTATGCCGTCGAAATTCTTCGTGCGGTCCGCAATGTCAGTCAACCTGTCGAGGGAGGCGGACTGCATGGGATTGTAGGAACCAATCGTCAAAGGAAAAGTAGACATGACTGCGCAAGCGAGTCGCCAGAAGCTGGAACACCTCAGCGACATGAGAGTAACATACAGTATGGATAGAACGTGAGTGCAGGGGGTCGGCCAGGCAGCATCCTTTCTGTGCCGAGCTGGCTGGAGGAGGGGAGGAGGAGGAGGAGGAGGAGGAGGAGGAGGAGGAGGAGTGGGAGGAGGAGGGGCAGGAGGACCTCCTCATAGTGTCGAGTGCAAGGCGGCAGTGCCACGAGGACAAAAAGGACCAAGGCCTAGGGGGGTTGGGTGTTTTACGACGGGAGCTGCTCTGCATGGGCCCCAAGGAGTCCTCATAAAAAATACCCCTAAAAAATAATCAAAAAATAGTCTGGGGACTATTTTTTGAACATGTTTTGGTCTTTTTGGTGCATTTCTGGGGTATTTTTTATTTTTCGTCGAAAATCCCCGTGTAGGGGGACAGGCCCGACCGAACCCTAGGTGGATAAACATGAATCCCCTGAATCTGACCCTCCCAACTTCCCCTAAGCTCGAAGTTGGACCGCGAGATCAGTGTAGAGCGCCCCAGCTCAGCGGACGCGACCTGTGAGCTTGTGGAAAGGGGGCTGCCGACGACCAGATCACAACATTTACGATCCATACATTTCCGCTCCCTCCGCTCTCCTCCCCTCCATTCCCTTCGCTAAATTCCGTGGCGGCTTGAAGCGGCGTGTCCGTAGGCAGAGGGGCTCGTGCACCGAACGGGAACTTGTAACAACTAGGATCAACCACCATGGGGATCTCCTGCATGGCCTCGATGGGGTGGTTCTGCTTGAGGCTCCAGACCAGGTCAACTCGGGACGGGGAAAGCTTTTGCGGTACGGCTACCATGATCCCGCGCCATCATCGAGAGCGGCGTGGAAATGCAGATAGACTGTAAAGCTAGAGGTGTCTGTCGCTTCCCGTCTCCCAGGGTCGACGGACCTAGGACATAATAAGATCCTTCAAGAACATGAGACCCTCCGCTGGCCAGACTGAATAGCGCTGGAGAGTACCCTACCCCAGGATGTTCAAGACAATCCAACGAGCACGAAGAACGCTAGCGTACCCTCCCCGAACCGACCTCGATCGCTGCCTCGGTCCGACCGTAACTGGAACCGGGCCAAGTGTCATTGGTGCTTGGAGGAGGTGGCGGAAGCCCTCGAGGGGGGCCCGCTTCGTGGAGGCCGACGCGCGCAAGTCCCAATAGTAGGGGAACAAACAATGACATAAACTTAAAGCTCGGAGGTCCGCGCAGATTTCTCGGATCGGCGCTGAGGCCCCCCGGCGGCGCCTCTGGCGCCGCCCCTGGTGCGCTCCGCGCGCCAGGGAGGGGGGTCCAGCGCCGATCCGAGCAATCCGCGCGGACCTCCGAATTTTCATGTTTATGTGACTTTTTGTCCCCCTAAGTAGGGGCCGCTCGAAGAAGACCGGCCACGCACCAACAGCTCTGCGGGAACAGGCACGCAGACCGTCCCAGCCTCCTCTCTCTCCTCGTCCTCCTCCCTCCTCCTCCTCCTCCTCCTCCTCCCTCCTCCTCTCCTCCTCCTCCCTCCCTCCCTCCCCTCCCTCCCTCCCTCCTCCACCCTCCCTCCCTCCCTCCTCCCTCCTCCACCCTCCCTCCCTCCCTCCCTCCCTCCCTCCCTCCTCCCTCCTCCTCCTCCCCCTCCTCCCTCCTCCCCCCCCCCCTCCCTCCTCCCTCTTTCCCTCCCTCCTGGTGGCGTGTGCGTCGCTGGCTGGAGGGGGCGGCCCGAGCTGCGCCCTCCCAGCAGGTGGTTTTACCGGTGGCGGGCAGCGGCCCGACCACGACGGCTTGCCACACGGCTCTCCACCGCGCCTTCCCTGAAGGCCCCCCCTGGGCTCCCGAGCTGCTGCCCTCCCTCGTGGGCCCCCGGGGCCCGTGGAGACCCCGTGGGGAGCCCCTCGAGGCCCGATTATTATTATTATTATTATTATTATTATTATTATTATTATTATTATTATTATTATTATTATTATTATTATTATTATGATTATTATTATTACTATTATTACTATTATTATTATTACTACTACTATTATTATTATTATTAGTATTAGTCGTCTTATTCGTATTCTTCTTCTTCTTCTTCTTATTATTATTCGTATTATTATTCGTATGATTTTCATTACTAGTATTTATATTATTGATGTATTGTTTTTTGACATCCACGTCAGCGCCTCCAAATCCTCGGTTTAACCAAGGAAACGAGCCAGCAACGGAGGGAGATGCGGGCTCGAATCCACCCCGTGGGGAGCCCCTCGAGGCCCCGAACTCTCTTACGGGGCAGAAAGTCCCCCCCCCCGACAATAACCATCCCCGACACGCGAAGCCGTTTAGGAAACGCATGCAGAGAAAGAATCCAACGGGGCAAGGCTGTTTGGTAAACGCCCAAGGCCGTTCAATAAACGCCAATTGTCCGGTCCGGGTGGCTTCTTCTCCCGTGATCTCTGGAGGAGGAGCCCAGGGAGGCCTGGTTGTTTTGATGTCACCGCCTTTGGTGGGCTGAGGTCTGTGAGCGCAGCGACGATGAACCTCTGGGCTCCGTCTTCATTTGCTCCTCGTGTGGGGGCTCTCGCATAACGTTCCTGCGAGGGGGGTCCACAAATCGTGCACTGGCAGACCCAACAGAGGCCATTCAGACGGTTGACCATTTTTGAACTTTCTTGGCAAGGCACGTTCCCCAAGTATGGGGACGCGCGTTTACGTGCTTGTAACGAAGAATACGGCACCACCCTATCGGAAACCAGGCCCAGGGGCAGGTGCCATCGGGCCCCAGGGCCCTGGACTCCGCGAGAGGTTGGCAACTGTCGCGTTGGGCCATGCAGCTCGCGCGGCTAACGCTGCAGCCGCGTCGGCAGCAGGCCAGGTGTGACACCTGTAAGCTTTGAGCCCGTGCCCCGAGCCTCAGCTTGTTTGGGTCGGTCCCCCCTTTTCCTTGCATGTTGAATGGGGCACCCCCTCTTAACCGCTTGAGTTTATGTCTCCTCCTCCTCCTCCTCCTACTCCTCCTCCCATGATCCTTCCTTCCCCTCCTACTTCCTCGTCCTCCTCGTCGCCTCTGCGTTGCCCGTGCTGCTCTGCTCAGTGAGCGCTTTTTGTGCGCAGGGACGGGCACGCACGACGCCAGCGTCGTCGAGCCTTCCCCCCCTCTCGCTGCAGACGAGGACGGAGGAGGGAAGAGGGAAAGGGAAGCAGCGGAGAAACACAACGGTTCCTTTCTCTGCTCGCGCGTGCCGACCTCGCAGGAAATGGCTGTGCTGACCCCCCCTGCCTGCGCCGAGCGAGGACGAAGGCGGAGGGAGCGGGACGACAGACGAAGACGAGACGCGCCACCTGTTGATCTGGTCGTCCAGCATGCTGTCGCCGCTGGGGTTCGCGCACGCCCCACCTATGCCGTCGCCAGCGGAGTCTGCGTCCAAGTCCTTCAGCGGCACGAGCTCCAGCCGCAGCCACACCGAAGCGCAGGGCCGGAGGCCTCCCACCGCAAAGTCCGTGGCGAAAACGATGGTGTACTTCCCCGGCTGCAGCTCCGCGTGGATGCTGTGCCGGACTTCGCCCCCCGCCAACTGGAGCTGGGCCGCTGGCCACCTGTCAGGCCGCCTGCGCAGCTGATGCCACTTGTCCTCGGGCCTGCCCTGCATCAGCACCGGCCGCACGGGCACCGTGGCCGCGTCGGTGGTCAGCCGCAGCACCGACACGTCCGACACGTGGAGCTCCAGTGTGCGCAACCCGCCCGCGCCGTCTGCTCCCCAGCCCGTCTTCTGTGCGCCGTCCGCCTCAGCAGTGCGCTCAGGGAGGCGGGCAGCGAGGACAGGGGCAGGGAAACGGGGGCGGGGTGGGGTAGGGGGAGGGGCGGGGGATGGGCAAAAGGTAAGCGAGGGGGAAGGGCAGGGAGAAAAGGCGGGGCAGGGTCGGGGGAAGGGAGAAGGGAACGGGCAGTGTAATTACGAAGAGGAGGTGGCCGCGGGCTGGCCCGGGGCCGCTGCAGCGGCCCCGTGGCAACCGCAGGGCCCAGGGGTGGCCGCCTGCTCGGTGCTCTCTCGATGGCCCCCTCGCGTGCCCGTGGCAGCCCCGTCGCCGCCGGATGCTGTGGGGAGTCCTCGCGCGCTCCAGCTCCTCCCAGTCCTCCTTCCCCCTCCACGCCTCCCAGCTCCAATCCTTCTCCCCTCCTCCTCCAAGTCCTCCTTCTCCCCTCCAGCCCTTCCGCCTCCAAGTTCTCCCCTCCTCCTCCAAGTCCTCCTCCTCCAATCCTTCTCCCCTCCTCCTCCAAGTCCTCCTCCAAGTCTTCCTCCAAGTCCCTCCCAGCCCTCCTTCTCCCCTCCTCCACGTCCTCCTTCCCCCTCCGCGCCTCCCAGCTCCAAGCCTCCCTTCTTCCCTTCGCATGCCCACCTCCGCCCTCCCAGCCCCAGCCTCCCTCCCCGCGCCGTCGGCCTCTCCTCTCTGCCGTCCTCCTCTCTTTCCTCCGGTTGCTGCTGCTGCTGGCTTCGGGGCCGCACGCGGACGCAACCGTCCGCCCCCCTGGAGGGGCCGTTGCCCTTTTGGGGGGGGGGGATCAGGCTAGATTTGAGTCTGGCGTGTCCCCCTAGAGGGGGATCTTCGACGAAAAAATACAAAATACTAAACAAATGCCCCCAAATGGTCAAAACATACCTTGAAAAATAGTCCCCAGACTTTGTCTTTGGGACTATTTTTGAAGATTCCCCCTGTAGAGGGACAGGCCCGACTTAAAGCTAGATCCTGTCAACACATTCGCAGGGAACCACGAAGTACGCGAGCACGGGGAGAACCCCCCAGGGGGCGAGGAACTGGGCCCCCCGGCGGCCCCAGGAGCGGGGACGACGTCGAAGCTGCGACGGCGCAGCGACGAACCTTAAGTCGGGTGTATCCCCCTACAGGGGAATTTCGGACGAAAAATTGAGAATACCCCAGACTATTTTTGGACTATTTTTGGGGTATCTTTTTTTCCGTCGAAAATCCCCTTGTAGGGGGACAGGCCCGACTTAAGTCTAACCCGCAAGGAAAGCGGGGAGGAGCGGGGCGAGGTGGTGGCTGGCAGCAAGTGTGGCTGGCAGCAAAAGGTGGCGGCGGGAACCAGGCAGCCGGAGGTGCGAGAGCTGCTGGCGCACGCGTGGCCGCGGCCGCACCTGCCGCAAGCGTTAGGTCGGGCGTGTCCTCCTACAGGCGGATCTCGGACACAAAGATGAAGCAGAGTCAAACAGTAGTAGTAGTAGTAGTAGTAGTAGTAGTAGTAGTAGTAGTAGTAGTAGTAGTAGTAGTAGTAGTAGTAGTAGTAGTAGTAGTAGTAGTAGTAGTAGTAGTAGTAGTAGTAGTAGTAGTAGTAGTAGTAGTAGTCGTAGTAGTAGTAGTAGTAGTAGTAGTAGTAGTAGTAGTAGTAGTAGTAGTATTAGGTAGTAGTAGTAGTAGTAGTAGTAGTAGTAGTAGTAGTAGTAGTAGTAGTAGTAGTAGTAGTAGTAGTAGTAGTAGTAGTAGTAGTAGTAGTAGTAGTAGTAGTAGTAGTAGTAGTAGTGTGCTTATGTGCGTCGGCAAATCGTCCCCAGACTTTTTTTTGGTATTACAACGATGTTTGAATATTCCTCCTGCAGAGGGACACCTGGCGCGAGGGCCTCTCCCCTCCACCCAGGAGGCCCCCGGGGCCCCAAGGGGCGGCCTCCCCCGACCGAGGCGCGGCGCAGGGTGTGAGCACGGGCGAGGGTGACAGCCGCTCGTGGGTTGCCCTCCGGAGAGAGGGAAGTGCACGCCACCTCCTCCTCCTCCTCCTCCTCCTCCTCCTCCTGCCAGCCCGTGGCGGCGGGGTCGCAAACCCCCGCCGCCCACTCCCCCCGCGCCGCAGCCAGTCCCAGTGCCAAAATGGTGCACTTTTATCCGTCGGCGGCGGGGCAACAGAATGGCTGCACCAGCGACAGAGCTAACCGGGGGGCACCGAGAAGCGAATCGCCCAGCGTGCGGGAGGAGGGGAAACGATGGACAGGGCGGCCGCGGAGGAGGAGGGAGGAGGGAGGAGGGAGGAGGGAGGAGGGAGGAGGAGGAGGAGGAGGAGGAGGAGGAGGAGGAGGAGGAGGAGGAGGAGGAGGACCAGTGTAAACCAAAGAGTCACCAACGATATTGGAATACACCCTCCCCCCAAGCTCCCTCTTCACAGGCCCCTACAACGGTTCATTTCCACCGAGGGACCTGCCTCGTTGGAGGACAGCCGTTTGAAGACCCTGAAGCATGCCCAAACAATCTTCTCTGTATTCCAACGCCACGGATGAACCTGACTGTTGCGTCTAGACGATCCTGAATCGTGCCAGAACGCCATTCCTGGGACCTCGACTCCGCAATTCATCGTAACTGTTGCGCTCTCAAAATCGTGAGTCCTTCCAAAACAACACTTCTGGTAAATTGATAATGGGAATCCATCAAAAACTCTTCCAATTTTAAACAAGAGTGTACGCGGCGCTAATGCGAGAGCCCCACTTTGAAAACCACCCGCCCTCAATCCGTGAACCTCTGGCACATTTTGAAAACGAATGCGCGCGGCGCTAATGCGGGAGCCCCACTTTGAAAACCACCCGCCCTCAATCCGTGAACCTCTGGCACATTTTGAAAACGAATGCGCGCGGCGCTAAGGCGAGAGCCACATTTTGAAAACCACCCGCCCTCAATCCGTGAAGCTCTTGCACATTTTGAAAACGAATGCGCGCGGCGCTAAGGCGAGATCCACATTTTGAAAACGACCCGCCCTCAATCCGTAAAACTCTTGCAAATTGTGAAAGCGAGTGTGCGCGGCGCTAAGGCGAGAGCCACATTTTGAAAACCACCCGCCCTCCATCTGTGAAACTGTTGCCAACGTTTAAGCTTCAAGGTCATAAATGGTGAAGAAGGCTTAGGCGAAACGCCCGGCCCGAGACGAGGAGGAGGAGGAGGAGGAGGCGGAGGAGGAGGAGGAGGAGGAGTGCGGGTAGCCTGAGGAGGAGGAGGAGGAGGAGGAGGAGGAGGGGAGGAGGGGGAGGAGGAGGCGGAGGAGGAGGTGGAGAGGAGGAGGAGGAGGAGGAGCAGGGGAGGAGGAGGAGGAGGAGGGGGAGGGGGAGGAGGAGGAGGCGGAGGAGGAGGAGGAGGATGGGAGGAGAGGGGGGAGGAGGAGGCGGAGGAGGAGGAGGAGGAGGAGGGGGAGGAGGAGGAGGAGGGGAGGGGCGAGGGGAGGACAGGTGGGCTGCGGCAGAACAGAACTGTGCAAGTGGCGCGGCTGCGACGGGTGGGGTGGGGCTGTCCGGTGGCCTCCGGCCGTCCAGGCCCGAGCCTGCGCGGCCAGTGGCGTTCGATGTGCTCTCTTGCCCCGCGCCCCCCCCCGTTAATGAGCACACTCTTGACCCTACTCTGTACTCTCTCCTCCTCTTCCCTCCTACTCCTCTCCTCCTCGTCCTCCTCCTCCTCCTCCTCCTCCTCCTCCGGCTCCTCCTTGACCTACATCCTCCATGTTGTCTTGTCTCCCTGAGACCCGACGGGGCGAAGAAAAAGTTTGGACACCGTGCAGAAAACACGACCCGAGCCCCAGACCCCCTCTCTCTGCGCCACTCTTCAATTGGGTTTCCGCCCGCTCCCTGACGAGGGGGGAAGGAAGAAACCGATCGATCCTTGAAGCAGGAAGGCGCCAAACGTAGATTTGAGTTCGGCAATCCAAAAATACCTACTCTCAACGACCGGCGTGTGCAGGAGGAGGAGGAGGAGGAGGAGGAGGAGGAGGAGGAGGAAAAGGGGAGGAGAGGAGGAGGAGGAGGGGAGGAGGAGGGAGGAGGTGGGAGGAGGAGGAGGAGGGAGGAGGAGGAGGAGGAGGAGGAGAAGGAGGAGGAGGAGGCGGAGGAGGAGGAGGAGGCGGAGGAGGCGAATACGCACCTTCCTGGGCGAGTCGGGGCTCTCAGACCCCCATCGGCGGCGATCTATGGGCGAGTGGGGGTCGATGCGTCCGCCCCCCTGTGCCTCGCCGTTGCCCCCGAGCGCTCCGGTCCGACGGTGCCCGCGTCGATCGTCACGATCGAGCGTCGCGTCATCCCACTTCGCCTCCTCCGCCTCCTCCTCCCACCCCACCTCCTCATCTCCTCCGCTCCTCCTCCTCCACCTCCATCCCCTCCGCTCCCACCTCCCCTCCTCCTCCTACTCCCACCTCATCTCCTCTTCTTCCTCCTCCTCCTACCTCATCTACTCCTCCTCGACGACCCGAGGAGCGCTGGCGCCGACCCGGGCGCGCCGCCCCGCGCTCGGCGTGCGGCGGCCGCGTCAGCTCCAGCACGTCGCGCAGCGCGAAGCGCCTCGCCCGCAGCGCCGCGCCCGCCGCGCCGCCGCCCGCGCCGGCGGGGGCGGGCGGCGGCACGCCCTGCCCAGGAACGGGCCAGGAGGAGGAGGAGGAGGAGGGAGGAGGAGGAGGAGGAGGAGGAGGAGAGGAGAGGAGGATGAGGCGGAGGAGGAGGAGAGGAGGAGGAGAGAGGAGGAGGAGTAGGATCGGAGTAGGAGGAGGAAGGATCGAGGAGAGGATCGAGGAGGAGGAGGAGAGGGGAGGAGGACGAGGAGGAGGACGAAGGAGGAGAGGAGGAGGAGGAGGAGGAGAAGAGGAGGAGGAGGAGGATCGAGGAGGAGGAGGAGGAGATCGAGGAGGAGATCGAGGAGGAGATCGAGGAGGAGGATCGAGGAGGAGGAGGAGGAGGAGGAGGAGGAGGAGGAGGAGGATCGAGGAGGAGAGGACGAGGCGGAGGATCGAGGAGGAGAGGAGGAGGATGGGGACGGATGAGGAGAGGAGGGAGGAGGATCGAGGAGGAGGCAGGAGGAGGATCGAAGGAGGAGGATGAGGAGGAGATCGAGGAGGAGAGGAGGAGTGCAGGAGGAGCAGGAGGAGGAGGAAGAGTAAGGAGGAGGAGGAGGAGAGTAGGCAGTTAGATACTCTTCCTCTTGAGGAGGATCGAGGAGGAGGAGGAGGAGGATCGAGGAGGAGGAGGTATCGAGGAGGAGGACGAGGAGGAGATCGAAGGAGGAGGAGGAGGAGGAGGGAAGAGGAGGAGGAGGATCGAGGAGGAGGAGGAGGATCGAGGAGGAGGATCGAGGAGAAGGATCGAGGAGGAGAGGAGGAGGAGGAGGAGGAGGTAGGAGGAGGATCGAGGAGGAGGGAGGATCGAGGAGGAGGAGGATCGAGGAGGAGGATCGAGGAGGAGGAGGAGGAGGAGGAGGAGGAGGAGGAGGAGGAGGAGGAGGAGGAAAGGGGCCCATCGTCGTCGTCGGCGTCGTCGCCGCCGCCGTCGTCGTCGTCGCCGTCGTCGTCGTCGTCGTCGCCGTCGTCGTCGTCGTCGTCGTCGTCGTCGTCGTCGTCGTCGTCGTCGTCGTCGTCGTCACCTTCTTCAGGGTCGGCGGCGCCGGCCGTAAGGCCTTGACAGTAACAGACACCAGCCCCAGGAACTTCAGGAAAAGACCCCAAAAATAATCCCCAGACTATTTTTGGAGCATTTTTGGTGTATTTTTTCCCAACCCTCCTGCGTTGGGTACTCGTTTTGAATAGCACTGCGGTCTCCACCTTCCTTCCTTCTCGCCTCCTCCTCCTCTCTTCCCTCTTCCTCTCCTCTCTTGCTTCCCTTCTCCGCCTCTCTTCGCTCATCACCAGGTCGACGCTCTAGAAAAGCTATTCACGGGAATTCCCACGGCGGCGACGAAAAATCATAAAACACTGTGCAAGGGGGGGCCCAAAATCTGGCGGCCGACGCCCCGGACACAAAGCAGGTGGTACAAAAAAACTGGCGGCGAGACATTGCACAAATCAAAGGTGGCACTGAAAAAACGACGACGACCGACTCTGCACACACTATGTGTAGTATACGATGCAAACAAAATAACATATTTGAAACAAAAACATAGAAAACGTATTCACTTTACGCATGTAATAAACGAATGCTTACGCCACTCACGCCACTCACGCCACTCACGGCCGACCCGAGCCCGAGCCCGAGCCCGAGCCCGAGCCCGAGCCCGAGCCCGAGCTCGAGCCCGAGCCCGAGCCCGAGCCCGAGCCCGAGCCCGGGCCCGAGCCCGACCCCGACCCCGCGTCCGAGCCCGAGCCCGAGCCCGAGCCCGAGCCCGAGCCCGAGCCCGAGCCCGAACCCAAGCCCGACCCCAAACCCAGGCCCAAGTCGGAGCTCGAGCCCGAGCGCGAACCCGAGTCCGAGCCCGAGCCGGAGCCGGAACCGGAACCCGAACCTGAGCCCGAGCCCGAGCCCGATACAGACCCCTGGAGACGACGCCCTTTGCCAGGCAAAACGCCTTAAGTTCGAAGAAAATCTATTCGGAAACTTTTCAGAAATTATTTCCGAAAAGCTGCCTGGTGCCAAAATGATCAGTAAGACAGCCCGAAATGTCCTAAACGTAAGTTTAAAGAAGCTAAGGCTCAGAAAACAAATACAAGTTATAAAAGAAATCGTAAACACTTGCTCAAATGATGCTCTCAGTTTGCCTTCTCGTACCGCACGGCTCGCAGAGCGCACATGAAAACCGAAATCGTAAGCGCGATCTCAAATGATGCTCTTATTTCGCATTCTCGTACTGCACGGCTCGCAGAGCGCAAATAGAAACTATGTTCTCATTTTGCGTTACGGTACAGCACGGCACGCAGAGCGCAAATGAAAACAGGAAGCGTAAGCACTTGCTCAAATGGTGCTTCATTTTGCGTTCTCGTACCTTGCAAACCGCTCTCATTTTACCTTCTCGTACGGCACGGCACGCAGAGCGCGAATGAAAACAGGAAGCGTAAGCACTTGCTCAAATGATGCTTGTTACGGCCTGTCAAAAATTACGAATTTAAAAATCAACGTTGTCAATGTCAGTGCGTGTCAAGATCGTTCCGTGAAGCCCCTTGGCGCACGGGCTTGCGAAAGGCAGAATTCAGATTGTATGTTTCAGTGTGTGTCGGGATCCTCGTTCCTTATGCGGTACGAGAATGCGAAATGAGAGCATCATTTGAGTTCGTGCTTACGGTTTCTGTTTCATTTGCGCTGTGCGAACTGTGCGGTACGAGAACGCAAAATGAAAGCAGAATTTGAGCTAAAGTTTACGGTGTCTGTTTTCATTTGCGCTCTGCGAGTCGTGCCGTACGAGAACGTAAAATCAGAAGATCATTCGTGTTAGCGCTTACAATTTTGGTTTTCATTTGCATTCAGTGAGCCGTGTGCGGTACCAGAATACGAAATTATAATATCATTTGAATGTGTGTGTTACGGTTTCTGTTTTTATTTGCGCTGTGCGAGCCGTGCGGTACGAGAACGAAAAATGAGGGCATCATCTGAGCTAATGTTTACGGTTTCTGTTTTCATTTGCGCTCTGCGAGTCGTGCCGTGCGAGAACGTAAAATCAGAAGATCATTCGTGTTAGCGCTTACAAATTTGGTTCCCATTTGCATTTAGTGAGCCGTGTGCAGTGCCAGAATACGAAATGAGCGTACCATTTGAACTTGTGTTTACGGCTTATATGTTCATTTGCGTTGTGCGAGCTGTGTGGTACGAGAACGCAAAATGAGAGCATCATTTGAGCTAGTGTTTACGGTTTCTGTTTTCATTTGCGCTCTGCGAGCCGCGCCGTAGAAAAACGTAAAATCAGAAGATCATTCGAGCTAGCGCTTACAATTTTGGTTTTCATTTGCATTCAGTGAGCCGCGTGCGGTACCAGAGTACGAAATGAGAGCATCATTTGAATGTGTGTTTACGGTTTCTGTTTTCATTTGCGCTGTGCGAGCCGTGCGGTACGGGAACGCAAAATGAGAGCATCATTTGAACTAATGTTTACGGTTCTGTTTTCATTTGCGCTCTGCGAGCCGTGCCGTACGAGAACGTAAAATCAGAAGATCATTCGAATTAGCGCTTACAATTTTGGTTTTCATTTGCATTCAGTGAGCCGTGAATGAGAGTATCATTTGAATTTGTGTGTTGCGGTTTCTGTGTTTTTTTGTTTTGCGTTGTGCGAGCCGTGCGGTACGAGAACGTAAAATGAGAACATCATTTGAGCTAGAGCTTACGGTTTCTGTTTTCATTTGCGCTCTGCAAACCGTGCCGTACGAGAGCGCACAATAAGAGTATCATTTGAGCTCGTGCTTTCAGTTTTTGCTTTAACTTGCGCTCTGCGAGCCGTGCGGTACGAGAATGCGAAACGAGAGCATCATTTGGGCTCGTGGTTACGAGTTTGTTTTAATTGCGGTTGAGAACGCAAAATGAAGTATACGTCGTTGTGTTATTCTCCTTTTCCAACCTGAAGAAATATAATCAAATTCCGGAAGATTCCACGATTCATTTTCACAATCAAAGATGCAAAACGGTTCTATGACTCATTTTTGGTCTGGACACCTTTTCAGGAATAATTTCTGAAAAGCTTCCAAATTCATATTGAGAGAAATGCTTCGGCTCGTGCTTGGGCTTCGGCTAGCTCACGCTCGAGCTTCGACTTGGGGCTCTGGGCTTGGACTAGCGCTCCGGCTCGGCCTCGCGCCTTCGGCTCGCGCTCGGGCTCGGGCTCGGGGCTCGGGCTCGGACTCGAACTCGGGCTCGCGCTTGACTCGGCTTCAGCGGGCTTCGGCTCGGGCTCGGGCTTCGGCTCGGGCCTCGGGCTTCAGCTCGGATTCAGACTTCGGCTCGCGCATGAGCTTGCGCTCAGGCTTCAGCTCGCACTCGGAATAGTGCTCCAGCTTTGCCTCGGGCTCGGGCTCGGGGTCGGGGTAGGGGTCCGGCTCGGGCTCAGACTCGAGCTCGGGCTCTCGCTCGGAGTCGGGCTTGGGCTTGGGCTGAAACTAAGGGTCCGGTCGGGCTCGGACTCGCGCTCGGCTCGGGCTCGCGCTCGGGCTCGGGCTCGGGCTCGGGCTTCGGCTCGGCCTCGAGCTCGGGCTCGGGCTTCGGCTGGAGATCGGGCTTCGGCTCGCGCTCGGGCTCGCGCTCGGGCTCGCGCTCGGGCTTCGGCTCGGGCTCGGGCTCGGGCTCGGGCTCGGGCTCGGACCCGGGCTCGCGCTCGGGCTCGGGCTCGGGCTTGGGCTCGGGTTTCGGCTCGGGCTCGGGCTCGGGCTTGGGCTCGGGCTCGCGCTCGCGCTCGGGCTCGGGCTCGGCTCGGCTCGGGCTTAGGCTCGGGCTTGGGCTCGGGCTCGGGCTCGCGCGCGGGCTCGGGCTCGCGCTCGGACTCGCTCGGGCTCTCGGGCTCGGGCTCGCGCTCTCGGGCTCGGCTCGGGCTCGGGCTCGGGCTCGGCTCTGGCTCGGGCTCGGGCTCGGGCTCGGGCTCGGGTCGAACTCGGGCTCGCGCT